ATATGCACTCATATTTACATATATATTTCCAGACATAAACATACACACATTTATGAAAAATCATAAATGTCCATATATATGCATATGTATTTATAAGGACAGGAAAACAACTGGACTGCACTCACAATGACCTCGATGCAGTTAAGAGTGGGCTTAAGTCACTCAAAGCCTCTTTTGTAGACCACAACACTCAAAAGGAGAGAGAGAACACAAGGGATTGTCCTGCCACAGAGGCAGGGTGAGATGGGAGGGATGGGGGTGGGAGGGATTTTTTCCATGGTGGTGGAAAATGGGCACTGGTGGAGGGACGGGTATTTGATCATTGTATAATCGAAACCCAAGCACAAAAAATTGTAAATCTACAACTGTACCTCATGGTGTTTCACTAAAAATAAAAAAAAAATTTAAAAAAAAGAGTGGGCTTAAGAGCTAGGGCAGGGAGCAAGTGTGTACAGGACACTTGCTTTTTGCTTGGTATACTTCTACTTTGATTTCTTTCAAAACAGTAAGTGGTATTTGACATATAAAACATAATAAATTCCAAGGAAGTGTGGTGAATTGCTAATGAATGACTTCAGCAACACCACTGCATTATCCTCTAAATGTCCAGTCTCTGAAGACACAGGACAAATGGGAAGTCACCCAAACAGCTGAATGCCTGAGACTGGAGAGAACCTCTGGTCCAACAGTGCTGGAAAGAGAAGGATGTATCAGACCTTTCCCCCAGGAGGTGTGCTCAAAGGCAGGGAGTGTGTCCTTCTTTCTTTCCTGATGTCCCTGGGCAGTTAGTATCTATACCATCCAGTGAAGGAAATCAGGATTATTCACTTAAATGGCTTTTTTTTTTTAAAATGAAGAGACTGACAGTTTCTCCCTGATTGCAGTCACACGACTTCCCTTGCTTTTCTTGTCTCCATCATTCTGTAACCAAGCATAGAATTGTTTATATAGGAAACAATCCAGAAAACAATTGAGTTGAAAATATATGTAGGCTTAGGAGATGATGGAAACTGTGGTCTTAGTATAGTGGATTCTTCTTATATATAAAAGAAAACATATACAAACATGGACAGAAGTATCTCTGGGTAGAATATGTGTCTTGTACTGTTATTTTCAATGTCTAGAGTATCTGATTCAGAGGACTAAAGAAGGAAACAGTCAGGGAGGAGGGGAAATGCTTTCTCAAGAAAACATTGCTCAAACCAAAGAATGTGAATAGGGCTGAGGGCAACCCTATTTCCAGCATTCTGCTAAATATGCAGACAGTCATCATTTCTACAGAGAAGGTAAGCAGAAAGAGATATAAGGGAACAGAGGCAACAATTAAGTGGTGAATGGTATGAGTTAAAATTTTAATTCAACCTTTCTAGCAAATAACATTAGGTTTGTAAATAAAATTTTAAGCATGATAGCAAAAATTTTAAGATATATAAAAAAGCTATGATCAGAGATTTGATTACATAAATAACTCTGGAGGTTAGGAATATACTGCATATGAATTAAGAAATTGATAATAGACATAGGAGTATTTTCTTTAACAAGTAAAAGTAGGTTTGGAGCGATAGTACAGGGTGTAGAGTGTTTGCCATGCATGTGGCAGACCCAGATTCAAGCCCCTGGTGTCCCATATGGTCCCCCAAGCCCGCCAGAAGTGGTCCCTGAGTGCAAAACCAGGGGTGAGTCTTGAATATAGCCAGGTATGGTCCAAAAACAAAACCAACCACCAAAAAAAAAAAAAAACCAAACCAAACCAAGCAAAAAAGAATCAGGTCCAAAACACAATAAAGTCCTGAAAAATATGTTAATATACAGAAAATTTACGAATATGAAGAGCACCAAGGGAAAAAACCACATCCAGCTAACAAGAATGTCAACAAGAATGTCCAGGATATGGTGGAGGGAGGAGGGGAGGGGAAGGCAGGGAACACGTTCAATCAAATGACCAAAGAAAATTCAAATAAAAGACTTTGTACAAATAAAAACAGAAATTTATTAAAAGATAACATTTATGCTGAGGGGATACAGCAGTAGAACACTTGCTTTGCAAGTCGGAGGCCCTGGATTCAATCTCTAGCAGCATAAAAGCAAAAAACTGAAAAATGATTCATTATTCCTTTATTTGTGATGGAGAGATAATTGCTACAGGGAATCGAACCCAGGACCTCAAGTTTGTGAGGTATGTGCTTTATTATTGTCCTACTTCCCTAACAACATTTAATACTCCTGAAGAGTTATGTATATTTTGTTAATATCCTTTCTGATATATTATTTCCAAATACTTAAATTGTGGGCTGGAGCAATAGCACAGCGGTAGGGTGTTTGCATTGCGTGCAGCCGGCCCGGCTGGGCCGGGTTCAATTCCTCTGCCCCTCTGGGAGAGCCCGACAAGCTACCGAGAGCATCTCGCCCGCACGGCAAAGCCTGGCAAGCTCCCCGTGACGTATTCGATATGCCAAACACAGTAACAAGTTTCGCAATGTAAGTGGGCCTGCTCAAGCAAATCGATGAACAACGGGAGGATAGTGATAGTGACAGTGACTTAAATCGTGGATGACTTTAAACATAGAAATTACTCTTTGTGGAATTTATTTCAAAGAGAAAAAAAATCATAAGGTATGCAACTCCAGTAATATTGATGTGCCTGGGTAGCAGGATCATCTAAATGCTAAATAAATGTTTATATGAATATTAATAATTTAAAACTGGATAGAAGAACAGCTAATAGCAAAGAGATAATCACCACTTGCTGTGAAGATGGAAAAAGGAAACCACACAAGTCTTACAATTTACTTAGTCTGACAAATAGATGAACAAAGAAACACAGTTCAAAAATTCTCTGTCCGTGGCTGGAGTGATAATAGAGTAGGTGAAACTGTGTGACTTGTTTTATCCTTCAGTTTCACTACAGTCTCTAAAATATCTACAATGAGTTTCATTAGAAGAATCAATTTAATTATTATAATGTACAACATAGAGACGCAAGGAATATTCCAATAGAAATTGCCATTAGTAATTTCTACCAATAGAATGAAAAAGTGCAGTGCCCCAAGTGGAGAATAAAACCAAACATAATAAAGTTCTCTATTTATTGTTCCTCCTCAGATTTTTTTTTAGAACTTCAGTATTCAGAAAGTATCTCTAATTATAACATTTAAAAGCTTGAGAACAACTTGTTCTGAAATCTATTATTTACTACGAGCAAGGTATAATCTTATTTGATGACCTGGCAAACTGTGTTTTCCTTCCACATTAGAACAGATGATGGATTAGCATCTAGCTTTCTTTCTTTTAATTACTTTTTACAAGGCATGCTTTCTCCTTTACAGCTATTGAAAATAGTTTGCACACTGATGGTACTTCAAAAAAATTAGCAGAAACTCAATGGCACATTCCCAGGAGCTGGATAAAGCACGATTCCATAGTCCTTCATCATTTATCTAGCCCCTAATAGTTGAGTTCTTATTGGCATATATAGAAGGAGTAAGATAATCAGAATTTCAAACTACTTATATATCATGTCAAGCACTGAAAGTTTGTTTTTTTTCTTTTTAGTGGGAGAAGCCTCTCTTACACATACAATATAGGTTATAAACTTGGTTGTGTGTTACGTCTTAGGAGAAATGGGTATCTGGGTTTGTTGCATGGAGACAAAGCTATCAAGACAATGTCAAAGAAGGTTTAGGTAACCCAGGAGAGAAGGATCTTTAAGAGGTTAGCAAGCTGCTTATTTCTTGTCACAAATTGAATTTTGTAACCCTTGACTAGGAAGCAGTTTCGCTTCATGAAATCTTTCCCTTAGGAATTAAAATGGAAACAAAGAGTAGCTCTATTCTCTACGTTCAAAATGTATCTTCTCCTTCTGCAAGTACATCAATAAACTGGGAAATCCATTCAATGGGCCATTAATTCAGCATAAAGAGCACAAGTTATCAACCTGGCAAATGGAAGAATGTAGTAAAACCGAAGAGATAGGGGAAAGGAAGTGGCTCAGGGAAAAAGGGACATGGTCCAGTACTCCGGATTTTTAGGACGGTGAAACTATCCTCTTTGACACTACAGTGACAGGTATACTTGCCCTGCAACATCCGGCAGCCCTGGTAGAATGCACAATATGGAATGAAGTAAACTATACCTGTTAACAATATATCAATATGGGCTCCTTCATAGTAACAAATATGCCACATCAAAGCAAGATCCAAGAAAAGATAAATAAGTCAAATAAAGTTGCAGAGAGGACAAAGAAATGGGGGGCGGGGAGCGAATCCAGCACTTGGGGAGCCTTGAGAAATCCCTACCGCGGGCAGCAATGCATTCCTCAGCCACCTTTCATCAGCACAACACTGCATGGCAGCTCAGTGGAAAAACAAGAAACAGGAAATGTCATCCGACCCCCTAACCCAGAGGTAGGTCTCAGCAGAAGGCTGAAAGAATGGAAGGTATGCACAGGAAGAGCAAAGGATGGATTCTGTGGTGGTAGGAGAATGAGGAAGAGGAATCCGACTCGGAAGAGAGGAAATGGCCAGGAATTCAGGGAAATGCATTTCGACAGGATGTGGTCCTATTAGGAAAGTCTTGGAAGATGAGCAAATGGAGTTTCTACTGAACACTGCAAGCCTTAGAAGGTATTTGAACAGGGGAGTTAATCTGAGATGTCACGGAAACGTTATTATCTAAGATGTCATTGAAACGTTATGGGAACCTTAGAAGGTATTTGAACAGGGGAGTTGATCTAAGATGTCACTGAAACGTTATTATTCATGGAGTTTACAACTGCAAATGTGTCGCCTTGCTAAAATTTACTTGTAATCCCAAGTCAGTATTCACAGTCATCCAGGAATATGCACAGAACAAACCAAAAACTAAATGTTGATAATACTCAATACTTTCAATTCAATTTTTCTGCAAGCCTAAAGCTGCTCTTTTAAAAAGTTTATTAATCTAAATATATACACATAGAAATAATAAACTATATCTCTAAAAAGAGAAAAAAAATAACTTACTTCTGGTTCACAATTAGCCACTCACGAGTATAGGTCTGAACACAGTCCCTGACATGAGGGTCCAGTTCAACCCTAATGAGAAAGAAATGAAGCAAATTAATTTTTTTCTGGGTAGAAACAATGAAACAACTCCTTATCATAATCAAAGAGAATAGCATGATTTCAAATCCATGATGCTGAAAACTGCAAAGGGTGTTTTTATTCATTTACTTCAACTGTCTGATGTATATATATCTCAGATAATAAAATTTTTACTTTGGGTCTCTCTCTCTCTCTCTCTCTTTCTCTCTCTCTCCCCCCTTCTCCCCTCCCTCCTTTCAAGCTCCCTCCCTCCCTTCCTTTCCTGTACTTGGGCCACACCTGACTGTGCTAAGGGCTTAGCCCTGACTGTACTCAGGGATCACTCCTGGAGGGACTCTGGAGACCATAAGAGCTGCCAGGGATTGAACCCAGGTTGGCCATGAGGAAATCAAGTGCCCTAACCACTGTACTCTCTCTGTCTCCAGCCCAATTGTGGCTTTTCTTCATTTTAGGGAATCCTGTTAAATTATATCTGTCCCTGAGGGCACTCTGACACAGACAGGTAGTGCTACATTTAATCACATAGAAAACAAGAGAAAAACAGAGTCAAATACCAATTTATCATAAGGGATAATTTGTGTGATTGGGGGCTCCTGAGTAACCATGTGAGGACAGTTGCCTCAGACTTTGGAGAGTTGAGAGGCCCTGGTTTACCTGGTAATCATGAATTCTGGTCATTTCTATCATACTTGCATAGTGTGATTTTCTATCATACTTGCATAGTATCATGAGAGGTACCTTCCAAGTGCTTTAGAATCTCAGGATGAAAAATAATTCTAATAATAAGAGGAAAATAAATAAATCAGGAGTTAAAGCTCTGTTGCTACTCCCAGCAGAGCTGTGTTGACACCGGAGTGAAATCGATATAAATACTATACATTTTGCTTTGCTTTGCTTTGCTTTGCTTTGGTTTCTGGGCCACACGTGGTAATGCTCAGGGGTTACTCCTGGGTTGGTACTCAGAAACTGTTCCTGGTAGTGTTTGGGGGACCTTAGATGATACGGGGGATTGAACCCAGGTTGGCCATGTGCAAACAAGTGCCTTATAACTGCATCGATGCTCCAGCCCCTGCTGCAAACTTTTATTTCTTGTTTGCAGCGGTGGTATCTCTCTTTGGGGGGCAGGAGGAGGTGGGATCTTAGTATCTGATGAAATACCAAACTGATAGGCTGTCCCTGAGAGCCCCAATCCCTGTATGCTATGTGATTTGGGGCCATTCATTCAATCCTTCTATCTCTTTTACCTCACCTTGAAGTGGAAGTATTAAAAGTGGTGCAAGTCTTGAAGATAGCTGTGTTGAAGATCGGCCGCTATCTGAATGACCAAGAAGAGGGGCTGGTACACAGTAAAACCTACATATGATGTTCACATGCACGTGCCGTTCATCATGCACCAGGCACTGATGTAATCGTTTGACACATACTGATTTAATTCCTTTCCACCAGTCCATGGTGCAGGGGCTATTCATATTTTCCTTTCGCAGTAGAATTAGAGGCTATGGATCTTGTTCAAAATCACTTAACAAATGGAGGAGCCACGACTTGAGTCAGGCAGTTTACCTATGGGGCTCAGGCTCATTATAACCATACTCTCATAGCTCATCTGGGCTAGATGCAGGGGATAGCGGGGGTTAACTGCTACTTACTCTGACGACGACAGTTTTCCGAACCATCACTATATAAAAGGATAACAGTAAGACCATATCACCTCCACCCAGTTTTCAGTTTTGGCAACAACTGAAATACTAGGGACTAGAGTGATAGTACAGTGGGTAGGGTGTTTGCCTTGCACAGGGCCGACCCGGGTTCCATCCCTGGCACCTCGTATGGTCCCCTAAGCCCACCAGGAGTGATACCTGAGTGAAGAGAAAGAAATAAGTCCTGAGCACTGCTGGGTGTGGTACCAAAACAAAAACAAAACAAAGACTATCGAAAGAGTAGACGTTTTAAATCATCAGACAGTTAATATGTTAGCTCTACATTTTTTTTTTTTTGCTTTTGCGATAGCACAGTGGTAGGGTGTTTGCCTTGCACGCAGCCAACAAGGTCGACCCGAGTTTGATTCCTCCGCCCCTCTCGGAGAGCCCGGCAAGCTACCGAGAGTATTCGATATGCCTGACACAGTAACAACAAAGTCTCCAATGGAGACGTTACTGGGCCCGCTCGAGCAAATCGACGATCAACGGGAGGGCCTTTATCTTTACCTTTGCTTTTTGGGTCACACCCGGCGATGCACAGGAGTTACTTCCGGTTCATGCACTCAGGAATTACTCCTGGCGGTGCTCGGGGGACCATATGGGATGCTGGGAATCGAACCCAGGTCGGCTGCATGCAAGGCAAATGCCCTACCCGCTGTGCTATTGCTCCAGCCCCTCTACATTTTTATGATAAGAAAGATTTATATTCAGAAACTGGTCCTGGGCTCAATAGGATAGGGGTTAAGTGCTTGTCTTTTAGGGATCCCTGGTAGCATATATAGTCTCCCAAGCACCGTCAGAAATTATCCTGGAATACAATCGAGTATGACCCCCAATAAAGCACCAAAAACTGAAGCGATGAAGAAGTTTCAAAGTTCAAATATTAAAAACCCTCTTATCACTACATTTATTATCTTTTAAACAAGTTTTGCCAAGAGTTTGACCTTACTTGATAATCAAATTTGAAAAAAAGAAAAGAAATGAAATGATTATTCACCAAAGGTAAAAATAATGGCTATTATATATTATGTATATTATTATGTTTTGGGGGGTGGCATTTGGGGCACACCCAGTTGTGCTCAGGGTTTACTCCTGGCTTTGTTTCCAGGGATCACTCTTTTTTTTAAATTTTTTTGATTTTAAAACTTTTTATTTATTTATTTATTCATTGTTTAATGTAGAAGTACTGCTACTTATTCAGTCACTGATTAGCTGATTGAATTGGGCATGAACTCCACCTTACTTTTTTTTCATAGTTTTATATATTTATTGGGCTGGAGCGATAGCACAGTGGTAAGGCATTTGCCTTGCACGCAGACAATATGGCCGATCCGAGTTCGATTCCTCCGCCCCTCTCGGAGAGCCCGGCAAGCTACCGAGAGTATCTCGCCCGCACGGCAGAGCCTGGCAAGCTCCTCGTGACGTATTCGATATGCCAAACACAGTAACAATAAAGTCTCCAATGGAGACGTTACTGGGCCCGCTCGAGCAAATCGATAAACAATGGGAGGACAGTGACTGTGACATCAGGAATTACAAAGTTATTCATGAGTTTTAGATCTACAGTATTCCAACACCAGTCCCTTCACCAGTGTCCACTTCCTTCCACTGAAGTCTCAGTTTCCCTCCTGCCATATAGCCTGCCTCTAGGGCAGGGACTTCTTTCTTTCTTTTTTCCTCCTTTTAGGCACTGTGGTTTACAATACTGTAGGGTATTACCTGTAGGGTATTATGCGTATCACTTTGACTCCTTTCAGCACCAAGTCTGGGCTGGAGCGATAGCACAGTGGTAGGGCGTTTGCCTTGCATGCAGCCAACGTGACCAACCCAGGTTCGATTCCTCCGCCCCTCTCGGAGAGCCTGGCAAGCTACCAAGAGTATCTCGCCGGCACCGTAGAGCCTGGCAAGCTACCCATGATGTATTCGATATGCCAAACACAGTAACAACAAAGTCTCCAATGGAGACGTTACTGGGCCCACTCGAGCAAATTGATGAACAACGGGAGGACCGTGACCATTATTATGTCCATCAATTTGCTCGAATGGGCCCAGTGACATCTCCATCATGAGACTTGTTGTTACTGTGTTTGGCATATTGAATGTGTATATAAAGTCACATCTATAAAAGAAATAACCTTTTTAGGGGAAAATATTCTCAAAGACTCACAGCGTTTTTATTTTCTGGGAAGAGAGGATTTTCTAACTGCAAACACTAAACACATGATCATATCTTCTATGTGAAAAATAACTACTTAAGAAAGAGAAAAAAGGATTGTAGTAAGACCGTATCACCTCTACCCAGCTTTCTTAAGCGGTGATGAAATCAAATGCTAATAGAATGAGCATATCAGAGTCCCACATCATGAGATCCACTCTGGGATTTTTGTGGGAAGATCGAAAGGTCAAAACTTTTCAGAGACAGACATGCCTGAGTTTTGTTTTGAAAATAAATTCTAACAGAAAGTTATTCTAAATCTACAAAAAAGAAAGTGCAAGTAACTCTCTGGAAGTACCCAGAGCTTCACGTGGTGGTAATTCTACTTGGATGAAGACAATGACTAACACATTTACTCAGTGGAGCTTCTCATTGTTTTCCATTTGACAAAACTTTCTTCATTGGGAGGAACTTTTCCATATCCATCTATGAATACCAGTGCCCAACACATACTAGATGCTCAATGAACTGGGGCAGAATCATATGCTAGGTGGTCCATGAATATGAATGTGGATTAAAAATATATTCGTACCTTGATTCAACCTCTCATGTAAGAACCATTAAAATCTTTCTGTATGCGGGCATTTCAATGATTCTGATGAAAGATCCTGACAGTTTTACAAATCAACAAACTCACACTTAAAAAAAGAAAACAGAAGAAACTGATACTTTGCAAGGCCATGTGACTCATCCTCAGGTGAGCCCCAGGTAGGCAGTGATACCCAGGTGATCTGGCTCTGAAACTTCCTCTACAGCACTGCCTTTGTTCCACAGCATCTTTTTAACTGGCTTAGCCCTCCAGAGCTTCTCAGAGCCCCTTATCAAACCACTTTAAAACCATCTAGGTAAAAGGTAAAGGCCCTCCCGTTGATCATTGATTTGCTCGAGCGGGCCCAGTAACGTCTCCATTGGAGACTTTGTTGTTACTGTGTCTGGCATATCGAATACTCTCGGTAGCTTGCCGGGCTCTCCGAGAGGGGCGGAGGAATCGAACTCGGGTTGGTCATGTTGGCTGCGTGCAAGGCAAATGCCCTACTGCTGTATCTCATGGTGATATTAAAGGGTCTAAGTAATGTTATTTGAAAAGAAAGTCTAGTATAAGGACATTCACTCCCCTTATTGAAAATAGGCATGACCTCGACAAAATCCCATCTATTTTTGTTCTTCTCTTTTGGGCCAGGCCCAGAGATGCTCAGAGCTTACTCCTGGCTCTGCGCCCAGAGATCAGTTCTGACGGACCTTAGGGGATCATCAGGGATGTCGGGTACCGAAACTGGTTCAGCTGCATAAAGGCAAGAGCCCTGCCTGCTGTACTATCTCCCCCAAACCTATCTATTTTTTGAAGAAGTGGACTGGTTGGGCTACACTCTCCAGTGCTCAGTGGTTACTCCGGGGGTGATCAGGAGACCGTGTATTCAGAGGATTGAGATCCCGCAAGCAAAGCATCCACTCCGGGCCTTTGATCATCTCCCAAGCCCCAAACCCATCAACATATAATATATATATATTATATTATATATATTATGTGTTATGTGTGTATGTGTATGTATATATACACACATACATTATTATTATTATGTGTGTATACGTACATCTCCCAAGCCCCAAACCCATCAACATATAATATATATTATATTATATACATTATGTGTTATGCGTGTATATGTATGTATATATATACACATACATTATCATTATGTGTGTATATGTATGTTATACACACATAATGATAATGTATGTACGTATATATACATGCATATACACAGTATACATACATATACACACATAATAATGTATGTATACATATATGTATATGTACATACACATATACACATATACACACATATAATATATATACAGATTTATTATATATGTATGTATATACACATATATATATTTGAAAAAAATAACAAAGAACAATTTACCCTTCCTCCGGCAAAGAGGGCTGCAAAGTCCGACATTCCTTTGGCGTAAAGACCACGACCAAGTCGTCTTCAGTGAGACCTCCCAGTTCCTGAGTGAGCTCCACATCCAGGCTGTTCAAGTGTGTCATGAGCAGTCCTTCAATGTCCACGGGCTCCACCGGGTCATAAAACTGAGGCTGGAGGGACAGGAAGACAGAAACAAGAGGTTCTCGCGTGGTTGACAAGCAGGAGTGCTGGGCAGCCGTCGATGTGTGCCTGCCTTCCCTTCCTTCCCTTCCAACGCTGGAATCGCTTCACGCTCGGCACACAGTCATGACGTGGAGCTGTCAAACACAGCAGCCGTGATATGGAAAGGAGAGGAGAGGCAGCATGGAAAGTCAAGTTGGAACACGAGATGAGTAATTAAAATCACACCCCAAGGCAGAATTTTTCTCCGCTTAATTGCCTCTTGCTGAGGAATCCTAAGGAGATCCAAAATGAGATCACAAGACTGCTGAATTTTTATAATTTCCCCTGCAAAAGCTCTCTGAGGCCACGTTGACTCAAATACGGTGAAGTTGCAAGGGGAGGTAATTTCCCAGATTTTTTTTGGCCAACTCAACACACTTTCAGTCTGAGTATTTAGGTAGAGTGTTACTCTCTAAACTGGTTCCTCAAAACACTTTGTATAGAATCACAGCTCCCAGGGACCCAGACTTGGTGCAGAAACGCTCCAAGGCCATGATTTCCAACAAGTGTTGGAATGATGGTACAGCTCTGGGCTGCAGGTAAACAGGCAAACTATGGACAACTTGACTGAGTTTTCTCCTATCGCTAAATGTGACCATTTTTAAAAGAACTGGTTTTTAGTTTCTTTTCTCATGTCTTTTTGTCATTGTTGTTATTGTTCTTTTTCAATTATATTTTTCCGCAGTGGAAGAAGGGGGATAAAAGACACGGTAGAAGTAGAAGGTAATTCATTTTTTCCTCTAGTTGGTCAAATTAAAAGCTGAAAAACAGGGGCTGGAGAGATACCACAGCGGGTAAGGCGTTTGCCTTGCACGCAGCCGACCCGGGTTCAATTCCCAACATCCCATATGGTGCCCTGAGCACCACCAGGAGTAACTCCTGAGTGCAGAGCCAGGAGTAACCCCTGTCCTTTGCCGGGTGTGACCCAAAAAGAAAAAAAAAGCTGAAAAACAAATGCATTTTCTTGCCCATAATATGCAAAGACTTAGGAATCACTGCTTTAGGAAAGCAAGAGAATCACAGAGATCACACGGATACTATTATCAATACTATTAGTAATGATGTAACAGTATTTATATAATATGTAGTAATTATGTAATAGCTACTAAAACTAGATAGCATATCGTAAAAATAGTAATAGTATTAATGCTAATATGAACAGCTTGTTGGGGCTCATTCATGACAAACTACTACTTGGGGCAGTGGTCCAAAGAGGTAATAGTCTAACTCTGCCCCGGGTGGTGCTCAGGGCTTATTCCTGGCTCTGTACTCAGGGATCACCATTCCCAGCAGGACTCTGGGGGTCATGTGCAGTGTTGGGGGTTGAATCAGCGCCAGTCACTTGCAAGGCAAGTGCCAACCTACTATACTGCTTCTCCAGCCCCGACAAAGCAGATTCCTGACTTCTACTGCCTTGATATGAAGCAAGAACAGACCCAAAGGACATGCTAACAAAACTGGTTTTTCTTTGCTCTGAAACCATCCACCAAACTAGAGGTGGGGGATCTGGGTTGGAAAGAAGGAACAAGGTGTTTTTGGAAAGAAAAGAGGAATGCTCTGTCCCCTTTCCTCAGCACCCCTCGAATTCCTGTTGACAGTGGAGACAAGAAAAGCATTGAGCACTCACAGGCTCTACTTCTGGTCTGAGCTTTTTGAAGGTGGGAGGACTTGCTTAAGGGCTGATGCCAGCAGGGCCAAATGGGGCAGAACGGGGCAGAAGAGAAGGCTCCAGGAAACAGTTCAGCAAATTGGAGCAAGGACACGTACGTGTGTCCTTCCTGGTTCCCCATGCTGTGTTGGGGAGTCTTCCCTCTGTTCTCTCTGGAGATCAAAGGTCTCTAGGGAGAGAACCATAGTCTTCCTAGGGTAATTTCAAAATGAAGGGGCTAACAGGGCCAGAGGTCACCTCCGCAGGAGTCAGGTGGGGACAGAATGTATAATAGGACAACGTGGGACTCTGCCAGAGGAGACAAAAGGCATCGACTAGGCACAGACAAATGTGTCTGCTTATGTAACCACCCCATAGAGTTTGCAGTCAGACTTGAAATAACTGCAATTTAAAAGGATGAAACTGCATCTTCGATGCATTAAAAACAATGTTTTCATCCATCCAAATAATTAATGAACATTTAATATGTTTCAGGATATCAGGATAATTCTACATTTGATCATTCTAGACATGATCTCACCCAATATTCACTAGAACTCTGAGAAGTGTACATTTTTTTCTGATCCCTAATTTTTTAGAGGAGGATATAGAAGGCTACAGATTTCATTATTGGCCCTGATTCTATAACAGGCAAGTAGCCCATCTAGAAGTCAGATCTAGGCCAGCCCATGTTCTTAACAACTATAATTTTTTTTGCATGTGTATAGATATATTTTCTTTTTTTAAAATTTTTATTAGTGAAACACCATGAGGTACAGTTGTAGACTTACAAATTTTTGTGCTTGGGTTTCAGTTATACAATGATCCAGTACCCATCCCTCCACCGGTGCCCATTCTCCATCATTTACATTTTTTTAAAAAAAAATTTGTTAGTGAAACACCATGAGGTACAGTTGTAGATTTACAAATTTTTGTGCTTCAATTGTACAATGATCAAACACCCATCCTTCCACCAGTGCTCATTTTCCACCACCATGGGTCGCAGTATCCCTCCCACCCCCCACCCCCTCCCACCCTGCCTCTGTGGCAGGGTATTCCCTTTTGTTCTTTCTCTCTCTCTCAAGCTTCTCGGAGTATCTGTGTTCCAGAAATAATGAAAACACGAGGCAAAGGGATTGGTGTTAGTAAGAGAAGCAAAAGCATCACTATCGCAAGTTCTACTTATAGTGTCTCTTGAGATTGACACTTCAGAGCAATAACAAGAAATGAATTAGATAATTATTTATAGTAACAAGAAATATAAATTATCTTAAAAACTATCTATTACTCAAGCAGAGTAACAGCTAGTGTGTATTGAAAATTTACAATAAAACACTATCTAAGTAATGTATTACTAGCACCCAAAATGCATAAATACAGCCTTCTGTGGAGAAACAGCATTTGTGAGAAAAGAAACAGAAAGAAAAATTCAGGTGCAAGGCCGGAGCGAGAGTCTAGTGGGTAGGGCACTTGCCTTGTATGCGGCCCACCTGGGATTGATCTCTTATAGTCCCCAGAACACCACTAGCAGTGATTCTGAGTGTAGACCCAGGAGTAACACCTGAGCATCATCAGATGAGTCCCCAAAATAAAACAAAACAGATTCAGGTGCAGTAAAACATAAGTTTTTTTTTGTCTCTGAAATCAAAAGCTACTAATGATGAAAACCTCACTAATAGAGGCCTCTACTACCTCTATGACGCACTATTTGAGAACCACGGGAGAAAAGTAGTTGACAGTCTCATTCTGCAATTATTGGCTAAGTATCCACTCAATGCAATCCACTAAGGTGAGTATTTAGGATACAGAAGAGTACAGGAAGCTAGTTTTAAGCACCGTCTCAAACATGAATCTTCGGTAAACCAAGAGATGGTGTAGTCTGCCACAATTTCACACATATTCAATGCTATTTTTGAATGAAAAAGCTATGATAAAGGACATAGAAGCATCTATGAGTGCTAACTGCCTGGCACTGTGCCTGGTGCAATATATACAACTCGTCATAAGGTCATAAACTTTTGAGGCTGAATATTCTGGAAGTGAAGACTATAAACATCAACTTTAATGACAGAATTATTGACTATGGTTCTAGCTTCAGACACAAGATTCCACTTAAAAAGCTTATTGGGGTCAGAGAGAGAGAGAAAGACAGGGAGAGAGAGAGAGAGAGAGAGAGAAAGAGAGAGAGAGTGCAGAAGTTAAGATGCTTGTCTGGCATATGGCCTACCCTAGTTTGATGCCCAGGACACATATTGTCCCCCAAGCACTTGCCAGGACTGATCCCTGAGCACAGAATTATGAGGCCTGGGCACTGAGGTAGGTGTTTGTTGCCCCCAAACCCTCACCAACTCCAGCATAAAAATCTTTTTTTTCTCAGGACCCCTGGAGAAAATTAAAAGGGTTGGCGTATGCAACCCTTGCATGCAACAGGTCAAGTTCAATATGCAGCACCACACAGTTCCCTGAGTATTGCTGGCTCCCAGCACTGCCAGGTCAAACCATCCCACACAGCTGGATCCATCTGGCCTGGCCAGTCCAGAAGAACTGGGAGTGGTCCCTGGGCTCCCAAGCATTGGTGAGGAGTGCCCCCTACATAAAGATTGTACTTCTCCCATACTGAAACCAGCAAGGGAGGAAACTGTTCTCTCCAAACAAAATAGATGCCAACTAGTCAGACCCTTGGCAAGTACATGGAGTTCCTATCCACTCAGATCTCCAAGGTATTCTCACAAATTTAAATAAGAACCAGGAGATTTCTGTACTCTCAGCTAACTGAAGTCTCTTTAATTGTGAGGGTTTCAACACATATTATAGTTATGGAATATAGATACAGATAAACAACTATGGTGGAGTAACAGTAGTGGTGCCTTTTGCTGGGGGATGAAGTTTGAAACCTAGGTGTGTGTGTGTGTGTGTGTGTGTGTGTGTGTGGTCAGAATTATTCTAAAGATAGCCCCTAAGGCAGGACCTTACCCCTTTAGGGTCTCTGGAACCTTTCGATGACTATCAACTATTTTGTTTCCTCTGCTGCTAAACTTTACACATAAAGTTTACACATAAACTTTACACATAAAGTTGTGACCTCCTAGTCAGTGGACATCAAACACTAGTTTAATCTTTGATATGTACCAGAGTCATTCCAAAAATACCTTATACCGGACACACACACGAATCTCGGAACCAAGCAGCCTGCTGCAGAGATGCCTCCAAATTTTATAATAGGGCACTTTTGTCGGGCTGGGAACAGGTGCCATTCTCCGCCTGCCCCCTAGGAATCCCAGCAGCCGCCATCTTCTAGAA